TGCATTGCAGTAATCAAGCCTCGGCGTAATAAAGGCGTGAATAAGCCTTTCTGCATCTGGGAGCGATAAAAACGGTCGTAGTCTAGTGATATTTCTAAGATGGAAAAATGCAGTTTTTGATATCATTTTAATGTGGGCATTGAACATCAGTTCTGGGTCAAAGACAACGCCAAGATTGCGCACTTGTGAGGACGGAGTAACAAAGTCATGGCCAGTAATCAAATTTGAACTGTTAAGTTTAAGTAAACCCGTTGGCGTACCGACAAATAGAAGTTCTGTTTTTGATTCGTTAAGCTTAAGAAAGTTGTGCATCCAGGCTTTTATTTTTTTTTATAAACATGTATTTATTGAATTTTAACAATTAACAAGGTTACATGTTAATACATTTAACAAAGCGTATAACAATCAAACTATAAAGGAATCCACTCCCCCCACCCCAAAAAAAAAAACACACACTGGATAACGACATTATATAATCATACATAGCTTAGGAAGTACAGACAGTTAGGTACATATCACCTTCAAATTTCCAGAGTTTCCTCGGCCTCACAGTTCTCCAAAAATGCAAGAAAGGGATTCCAGATCTCTTTAAATTCGGCTGATTTCTTTTTCATTGTGTATGTTAACTTTTCAAGGATAAGGCATGCTGATAATTCTTTCAGCCAGCGACCAATAGAAGGGCTCTTGACATCTTTCCAACAGAGAGAGATCAAGCGTCTAGCTTGTACTAAGCATAAGTCTGTGATTTTCCTCTCTTTGCGGTTTAACATACAGTCCTTTTGGTACAAATTAAGAATGCAAAGTGCAGGATCGTCAGGCACTAGATTTAAGGTCATCTTAGAAATACATTTTCATCCAGGCTTTTATCTCATCCAAGCTGGTGGTAAGAGCTGTAACTGCAAGGTTTGGATTAGGGTGCATGCTGATACAGATCTGCGTATCGTCAGCATAACAATGAAACCCTAACCCAAACTTACGAATGATGTCACCCAAAGGCAACATATAAATGCTAAATAAGATGGGACCAAGCACAGACCCTTGTGGGACACCCTGCTGAACTAGTGTAGGTATAGATTTGTTTTTACACAAAGACACAAACTGGAATCGATTAGTGAGATAGGATGTAAACCATTCAAACGCAGTACCAGAGATTCCTAGCCATACAGACAATCTGTCAAGAAGGACAGCATGAGATATTGTGTCAAAAGCAGCAGTGATGTCTAACAAGACTAAAATACTACAGGCACCCATATCAGCAGAAATGAGAAGATCATTTGTGACCCGGACAAGAGCAGTCTCAGTACTATGACCTGATCTAAATCCAGACTGAAATGGTTCTAGGAGATTGTTCATGGACAGGTATTGCTGTAGCTGGCCAACTACAACTCGTTCCAGGACCTTCACCAGAAAAGGTAGATGGGCAATAGGCCTATAGTTAGACAAATCCTCAACATCACAACCAGTCTTTTTTAAGGACTGGTGTGATGGCAGCTAACTTAAGGCTGAAGGAACCTGACCAGTTGATAAAGAGTGATTAATGATACCAGTGATAGAGGGGCACAATAGTGTTAAACACTCTTTTTAAATCTCAGTAGGCATGGGGTCAAGAGAACATGTAGATGAATTCATAGACATGACCAGTTTTGAAATATCATCTGTGCTAATGTAGCTGGTTTAAAAAAATTGTGAAATGTAATGAAGATTGTTTGTGAACTTCATCAAAACTTAATTATTTTTGTTTTCATATTTGTGTGCTGAGTTGTAATCCGGTACAATGTACATAGTTCTAGTGGGAACCATTTGTGCAGAATATTGTTTTATATGGGGCACATATTGGTGACGCATACGATACCTCGTGCTATGTGCGGACAGCGACATCTTTAGAAGCACATTTGCCGCTGACGGGGTCGGGTGTGCTCTCTCTCGCTCATCTGACGAGCGCGCTGGTAAGAACATTTTGAAGTGTATTAAACTATGTAATCGACTTATTTCATGAGATAACAATGTTTAAGTGAAATGAAAAGTGGTGATGTCATGAAATTGAATGTAGTTAATTGCTTGAGTGTTTTACTAAGACTGGTTTTGCTTACTAGCTTTCTCCGTGCTGTATGAGCTGTATGAGACTGAAGGGGAGAGACGTGTATCCCACAAAAAAAGAATATATTAATTGTGCTCTGTATTTCTGCAGGTATGTTCAATTATTTATTGTGTTTTATGTTGAGAAATGTTTGATACATACAAAAAAAGTGAGGTCTGTATGCAAAATTGATGTGAAAGTTTATTTGTGTAATTAACCTGTAATTTTTGACATTTTTCTCCATCTAATGTATTTACTAATGCAAGTAAGTGGTGAAGAAATTATATTTTCCCTTGTATATTATTTTGTATGCCATTTAAGGGTGACCTGTGTTTTGTGGCTTACTATATTTTGTGATTTTAATTTATTTTATTATTTGTCCTATGTTTTGTAACTATTAGTTGATTAAATTAACATCTTAGAAGCACATTTGCCGCTGACGGGGTCGGGTGTGCTCTCTCTCGCTCATCTGACGAGCGTGCTGCTTTCTCCGTGCTGTATGAGCTGTATGAGACTGAAGGGGAGAGACGTGTATCCCACAAAAAAAGAATATATTAACTGTGCTCTGTATTTCTGCAGAATAAAGATCCTGAGACCTCTTCAATCGGCTTTGTCTTCATTGAATAGGAAACAAACACAACCAGAGTAAAACTGTTACACTAACAGTGACAAAATTAATGAAAGTAGAAGATAAATTTATAGGATGGGGCTCGTTAACCCTCTGGGGACCAGAAACGCGCCGGCGCGTTTTGCTCGTTTTTTTTTCACATAGCAGAAAAATAGTCCACACTACTGCGTTTTCGTTTAAAAACGGTGACCTTTTGCTACGTTTGCACCTCCCGTCCACACTAAAACGGCAAAAACGGAGACCCAAAACGGAGAAGTTTAGAAACGCTGCCGATCTGTTTTTCGTTTTGAATCTCCGGAGGGCGTTTTAGTGTAGACGGGTCAAAACAGAGGACTTTAGAAACGATGAGGTAGTAGAGGCTCACGCTCGGCTCTATGATTGGGTGTCATCAGTCATGGCGTATATCTTTGCTTGCAGCTGTTGTACAAGTAAATTCTGCATTTTACAACGCTATAACTGCCTACATGCGCCGGAGTCAAGCTATTATTCGAGCGATCTGTGACAATTCCCGTGTGCAGCGGCGGCGTTGACCATACATGGAGCGTCGGTTTGGGGTTAACCCAGAGCATGGTGGGATAATTTTATCAATGAAGTTGTGTTTACACCGGCACGCGCATGCCCAGTGTTGGTGAATGGTCACGTGATCCACGTTTTCAGTCGTTTTAATGTGGACGGAGATCAATTCTAATACGCAGCTAAAACGCTGGTGGGGACGGAGATCGTATTCGTTTTAATTATCCGTTTCTAAACTAAAACGCAGTAGTGTGGATGGGGCCTTAAAGTACTACTATAATTTCTGTTCATATAGAGTTAAGAAATATGAGAAAATAATCTGTTAAATGTCTACTTTTTTATGTGCCCACATACAATCGAAATAAAATATTGTGCTTTTGTAAAATAAAGAAAATAAACAGGGTGTGCGTTCTGCCTCTCGGTCACCGTGAACTTTGTTTTCTGGAGCACGTCTCTAATCTTCAACACAACTCAGCTAATACTATTCACCCAGCCATAAGCAATATATCTTTTAAATCATTTGAGTTTGTACTTTTAAATGATCCGATTCAAAACTAAAATAAATATTCTCCGTTTATGTCATCTATATAAAAAGAGAGACGTGTCAGCCGTTCTAATTATCTTTCTCTCAGCTGATTATCTCTGGTTATGTGACACGCCCACGGAGAGCACGCGCTATTCAAACGCAAATATGTGAAGCAACACATTGAGACGCGTCAACGCCCATAAACTCTGAAAACACTATATTTTTTTGTCAGATTAATCTACTGTCGTCTTGCGCGGCTATATGAGGAACAATCCTGGGACATTTACCACAGAACAAGTGTTGGTTATTTTCACTTCGAGGATGAGCAACAGATTCAGCTGAGAAGTAAGTGTTTTATGCTTACAAGTGTTTTGTTCTAATCGCGATATAGAATAACCTTAGTGTCTGTAAACGGAAAAATAGCATTCTGTTTAAATGTGAATCATGTGTGTGTGTGTGTGTGTGTGTGTGTGTGTGTGTGTGTGTGTGTGTGTGAATGAATTAATGAATGAACGCACAGATACGCACTGTTACAGACTAAATAAAAGACAACATTTCGACTAGTTTTGGATAAAGTTTTTACTCTAAAATAGACATCAAATAAGCTTTTGTTAGGAGTTTCTGCTCATATGTTAAATATATAGTATGTTTTGTCAATAAACTAATCAACTAAGATGTTAAAGTGTTAACAGTGCAAGCTATATCAAAATAATGAATCCTCAACTTTGAAATATGTATGATCAAACTAAGACATTTATGGAAAAAGACAATTTTCTTTTCAAGATGTTTCCAACTCTAACTTTGAACTGAAATAAAACCATGTCTATATGGTGAAGGGTGTGTGATAGAAGTGTCCAGATGTATGCACCCTGTATTTTAAAGAAGAACATTTAATTATTTGCGATACATTATTCATTCACAAAGAATTCAAGGACATTATTCATGTCCCTAAAGGTTGGAGGTTTCCTCATTTTTTTAATTAAGGCATTAAGATGTTTTATTCCTCTTTTTAGTCAACTTTAGCATGGGTGTGTTCACTTATTCTAAGCAGTGTGTGTGTGTGTGTGTTGTAAATAAATCCAAACAATCTAAAAGCCATTCTTTTTTAAATCTCCTCATTCTTTGTGCAAGGCTCCTCGTAATAGGGCCATTATGGGAGGGTCTTTGTCTTTCTCAGGTGTGAAATGCCACACATATTAATGAGAGATCACGCCTCCTCGCATAAAGCTTTCTCAAACAAAACGTCACGTTGTAACAGCCTGCAGTTACATTTGTCTTATTAGCTCTCTGTACCGTGTCATATTTGGTTCTACCACTGGGGGGTACTCTAGTCAAGAGGGTTCCTAGTAGCATAAAATGGTAGAAGAAGTAGAGTAGGGAGGAAGGATGTGTTATGCACATGGAGAAGCTTCCCTACCAGTGTGGTCGTGTTTTTCCCTGATTTGAGGAACCTGTGGTTCTTATGCTTAAATGTAAGTGTTCAGTTTGTACTTTGTTTGTAATAATAATAATAATAATTCATTACATTTATATAGCGCTTTTCTAGGCACTCAAAGCGCTTCACATGGAAGGGGGAATCTCCTCAACCACCACCAATGTGCAGCATCCACTTGGATGATGCGACGGCAGCCATAGTGCGCCAGAACGCTCACCACACACCTGGTGGAGAGGAGACAGAGTGATGAAGCCAATCAGTGTATATATATATATATATATATATATAAATGTAATGAATTATTATCTAATCTATGTGTAATGTTAAGTAATGTGTTTTCAAATGAGATGTAAATGTGTTATGGTGGCACTAAGTTTGTTTGTTTGTTTGATGCAGAGGGTTCATCGTGCAGGCATGAGGCAGCAACTCAACTATAACTAAACCCTCGATCAATATGGAATTAATTGTCTGCGTTTTATCAACAACACCTTTGTCATCTGCTGTTTGTGCCTTGAGCTATAGTTTGTTCCTAATATCAATCGCTGCTTGGACACTTGGATTCAGACCGTTGTGAACTCATCCGCTCTGCACTTAAGTACTGTTTCTTATTACTTGTGGGACTCTAGAGACTGAGCTCTTGGCTACCAAAGACATTATTTGAAAGAGCTGAATTATTCTGATGTATTGCCTTGGGAAAGAATGCCTCATGTATTGTGTATGGTTACTGACTGTATGGTGTTTTATGGTATAATACACATGGCTCATTGAAATGCGAAGTCTCTGGTCCCTCATTTTATTATGTAGCCTCCAAAGCTTTCTTGAAAGTAGATGTTACATAAAATATGGCGCCCGAACAGGGACAGAGAAAGGAAAAGGAAAACCTAATTGAATCTTGAATAGAGGCACAAGTTCTACTTTCAATGAGTCATGCATATGTGTTTATTGTGACCATATTTTTTAGGTGTCAATACATGGCAATCAACTTGGTGCTTTAAGGCTAAGGTTACTTTAAGTGTTTTGTTAGTTGCAAAATGGCCTTCTCACAAAGAGAGACAGAGGATAAAGATCCTGTAAGCCCAGACTATTCTTCAGAAACTTTCACTACACGTCGGGAGCCTGTCCGAGACCTTATTCATTCTCTCAGTAATTTATATCTGGAAAATGAGTCCGAAGATTTAGAACAAGAATGTGATTTCGATGACTCTTTGTTACCTCCTCCTCCTCCGTCAAATGAAGAAGATGAAAGTTTGTTAACAATGATAATGGCCTCCAGAATGTATAAAGTTGAATGTAGAGTGGAGGGTTTGGAAAATTCCTCTGATATCCATTTTAAAGATATGCAACACCAGTTAAATGTGCAAAGTAATCGGATGACGGCCATTGAAAGTCAGCTTCAACACATATTGAACCTCCATAAGGACCATCACACAGAGATACAGCGTTTAGAAAACTCATTATCCGCCAAGCTTGAGGCTGGGTGTGGCCAAGTAAAAGTCACTTTAGAGACCAAAGTCCAGGAGTTAGGACAAGCAACTATGGATTGCCTGAAACGGAGAGATGGCCAGCTGAGATCTCTAATTCAGTCGTCCAGGGGAGCCACTTCTACTCCCGATTTTAACCACACTGTAGCAACCCATAGTTCATTTCGACCTGTACATTGCCAGACCCCCATCAAACTAGAGTTTCCAAAGTTCGGAAGTTTAGATGGAGAAGATCCCATTACGTATCTGGAACGATGCGATGAGTATCTGGCTATACAGCCTTTGAATGATGTTGAGATTTTATCCATGCTTCCTTCTGTATTAACTTACACCGCTAAAGATTGGTGGCTGGCAGAGAAGAAGAAAGTAAAAACATGGTCACAATTTAAGACTGCTTTCCTTCAATCCTTTTTATCTGACGATCATGAGGTGGAAGTGGAGAGAAGAATAAGAGAACGAAAACAAGGAGCTGATGAGAGCATCCGGACATTTGCATACCAGTACCGAGCGTTATGTTTGAGGTTGAAGCCAGTGATGACGGAACGTGAAATCCTTCAAGCAGCACTTCGGAACTGTAATCCAAGAATCGCTAGTATTTTAAGGGGTACTGCAACTACAGTGGATGAGCTAGTACGGGTAGGAACACTCATAGAGAGAGATATTGGGGAAGAGAGAACTTTCTGGAGGCAAAGGCCTCAGGAAAACTCCTCTAAGTCTGCTGAAGCCAATAGGTACTCAAAAGGACGACAATTTAACCCGCATATTGCAGTTTTTTCAGAGAATGTTAGAAAGCCGATGTCTACCTTAACTTTACCCATAACCATCAAAGACCACCAATATCAAGCAATTCTAAACACCGGAAGCACTTACTCATTAGTACAAGAATCATGTTGGCAACAATTGTCATCTAGTGAAATTATGCAGTCAAGTAGGGGACAGTCATTTTCACTTGTAAATGGTCATGTATAGACAGCCTTAGGGAAGATGGCTTGGCAGGCTACAGTCCATGGTCACGACTATCCACTGAGGGCTTATGTGATGAGGGACTGTGATCTGACTTTCTCAGTTGTACTGGGCCTTGAGTTCCTGATGACTTCCGGTATCCGTCTTGATTTTAAAAATTCCACTTATACATTACCCGAAGATAGTGACACAATCTACACCTTTGACACTTCTTCACCCTCATCAATGGTTCAACTGCACCTTGCACTACCTTTAGTGCCATTGACTTCCACTACGCTAATGGCTGTAAAGGAGGTAGTGAATCGAGCTGACGCTTCTAAAGCGCAGAGGCGGCAGTTAGAAGGTTTAATGCTTGATTGGCCAACAGTATGCACAGATAATTTGGGACAGACTACTTTGATTCAACATCGAATTCATACTACTGATGAGATTCCTGTGCGTAAGAAAGCTTACCCTGTTTCCGTTACCAAACAAAAGTTCATAGATGAAGAGGTAGAGAATCTGTTGAACAAAGGCATCATAAGGCCATCTGTTTCTCCTTGGGCTGCGCCAATAGTCTTAGTGCCAAAGAAGGATGGTAGCACTCGCTTTTGTGTTGACTACCGTGGGTTGAATTCAAAAACTCCTCTTGATGGATTTCCGATGCCACAGATTCAAGATATCCTAGAATCCTTGTATGGAGCGACCGTATTCAGCACATTAGACCTTAAGTCTGGTTACTGGCAAGTAGGAATGGATGGAGACAGTATTAAAAAAACTGCTTTTGTCACCAGAAATAATCAATTTGAATTTGTTCGTCTTCCTTTTGGCCTCAAAAACGCCGCTGCAACATTTCAAAGGCTAATGAACAATGTTCTGAGAGATTACTTGGGGACATTTTGTTTTGTGTATCTTGATGACATTGTGATCTATTCCAGGAACATTCAAGATCACTTACAACATCTCAAGCAACTCTTTGCAAAGCTGGAAGCTTCCGGATTAACTCTCAATCTCAAGAAGTGTGGTATGTTGCAAAAGACCATTACTTACCTAGGACATGTTATTTCGGAAGAAGGAGTCCGTACTGAATCCTCAAAAATTGAAGCAGTCCGTGATTTCCCGGTACCCAAGAACGTCAAGGAGGTACAGAGATTTGTAGGCCTTGCAAGTTGGTACCACCGCTTCATTTCTCATTTTTCAGAGCGAGCAGCACCTTTGTACGCATTAAAGGGGAAGGATGCAGTGTGGGATTGGACAGTCGAATGTCAAAAAGCTTTTGATGATCTTAAAAGTGCCCTCCAACAAGCACCAGTTCTAATGCCACCTGATTTCACAAAAGATTTTAAAGTACAAACGGATGCTAGTGAGATAGGATTAGGAGCTGTTCTGACACAGGATGTTGAAGGCTTGGAGCATGTCATCGCCTATGCTTCGAGACTGGTTCATGGAGCTGAGAAATCATATTCTACAGCTGAAAAGGAGTGCTTAGCTGTGGTTTGGGCTGTAGAAAAGTGGAGACAGTATCTGGAGGGAAGAAACTTTGAAGTTCTTACAGACCATTCTGCCCTGACTTGGGTATTCAATCAACCCAAACCATCTTCTCGTCTGACTAGGTGGGCTTTAAGGGTGCAAAGTTTTAATTTCATTGACAAGTATCGGAAGGGATCTTGTAATGTGGTACCTGATGCTCTGTCCAGAGGGATACCTGTGCAAGAGGTGGTAGGCCACATTGCCATATGTCAACCTACAAAATCAGACCCTAATTTACCAGTCAGTTGGGATGAGATTGGAAAAGCTCAGAAGCTTGATTCTTCTTTACTGTCTTTATGCGAGTCAGCTAAACAAACTAATACTGATCCAAGCCGTGTTGCTTACATTGTTCAAAATGACTACTTGTTTCGTAGGGTACCGGACAAGCAACAAGGGTACACTAATCAGCTAGTCATACCTGCATCATTGAGGGAGGCATTTCTGTAATTCGCTCATGCAAATCCATTGAGTGGTCATTTGGGAAGAATGAAAACTCTACGGAGGCTACTCGACAATGTTTATTGGCCTGAAATTCGCAAAGATGTTTGGAGTTTCTGCAAGATATGTAAGACGTGTCAAGCCTACAAACCCAGAATTACTAAGCTATCTGGATTGTTGCATTCAACCCCAGTAGTGGAACCGGGATATATGCTCGGAGTGGATTTGATGGGTCCTTTCCCGAGAAGCCCTCGATCCAATGAATTTCTATTAGTCTTTGTGGATTATTGCAGCAAGTGGGTAGAACTCTTTGCTCTACGGTCTTCAAAAACTCACCTCATAACCAACATACTGATAAAAGAGATGTTCACACGATGGGAAACACCGGTATACTTGGTTTCAGACCGAGGACCTCAGTTCACTGGCCAGCTACTAAATGATACCTGTAAACGATGGGGTGTGGTTCAGAAACTCACTACAGCGTATCATCCTCAGACCAACTTAACTGAGAGGGTCAACAGAACCTTGAAAACGAGGATAGCATCTTATGTCCATGATAATCATCGTGACTGGGATAAGTGGTTACCAGAGTTCTGAAATGCTATAAATTCGGCGTGGCAAGAGAGTACCGCTCTTACTCCAACAGAAATTGCACTTGGACGTAAGTTAAAAGGACCTCTTGAATGGTTAGTACGCAAGGCGCCTAATCCCGATCATGTAGCCTATACCACAATCGAGAGACAGAGGGTTCTTCTTGACCAAGTGAGGGAGAAATCTAGTCAAGCACAGGAGAGGGAAGCCAAGTATTACAATAAACGAAGAAGGGATGAAACCTTCGAAGAAGGAGATCTGGTTTGGGTATTGACTCATCATCTTTCTCGAGCTGCTGATTACTTTACAGCCAAGTTAGCTCCAAAATGGCAGGGACCTGCAAAGATTTTGAAGAGAATGAATAATGTAAATTACCGGATTGTAATGCTTGACAATCCGAACCAATGTGATACTTACCATATTGAGAAGCTAAAAAAATTATTTGGGAGTATTTGAGACTTTTCTTTAGGGAGAGGGGTGTGTAACAGCCTGCAGTTACATTTGTCTTATTAGCTCTCTGTACCGTGTCATATTTGGTTCTACCACTGGGGGGTACTCTAGTCAAGAGGGTTCGTAGTAGCATAAAATGGTAGAAGAAGTAGAGTAGGGAGGAAGGATGTGTTATGCACATGGAGAAGCTTCCCTACCAGTGTGGTCGTGTTTTTCCCTGATTTGAGGAACCTGTGGTTCTTATGCTTAAATGTAAGTGTTCAGTTAGTACTTTGTTTGTATGTGTAATGTTAAGTAATGTGTTTTCAAATGAGATGTAAATGTGTTATGGTGGCACTAAGTTT